CGTAACGTGGGCTTCCTGAGCCAGCAAAGGGACTTCCTAACATAACATTGGGCCTGCCTATCTAGAGTGGGGTATCTAGAGTATCTAGAGTCATTGGGCCTCCTAATGCAGAATTCAGTCATAAAGGCAGCTTCATGTTCTAGAGAGCGGATCATTTAACGTAGAACAGTCAATGAGGCCATTTTTTGTTCTGCGGCCCAATTATAGGTTCTTCTTGATCTTAATTTCGGTAATCTACGGGGAAATGAAAGGGGCTTCCCAAAAAAACTGAGGTGGCAAAAACACCCTCTTGTCCACCCATGCCTGCCGGGAGTGGGGGTGGGGGTGAAGGGGGGGGGACTACCTCCCCTGCCCCTCCGCCCCTGCCACAGCCAACAATGAGCAGGCCATGGTAATGGCCTTCCGCTGTCGGTTGCGACAGTAGCGACACCCGACGGCGCCGACCTCCTGTCAGGCGTGACTCGCGCGACGTCCGAGCCCTGCCGGGTACGTGGCGGACCGGCACCGTCCGACCTGACCCACCCCAGGGGGCTGCGGTCCTGCCCAGTCCACGCGCGGGTCAGGCGCTGGGACTCCAACTGCGAGGGCCACGGCGATTCTCGGCCTCGGAGCAGTTTCAATTACGTTCGCCGACGTCGGACCCACGTTATGAAGTGGCTTCCTTGCGTGCTTACCATCGGCGCTTTCGCCGCCTCGTCGATGATCGGCAATACATGAGAGCGATTCGCCAGATCGCGGGAGCGCGGAGCTCCTCCTCGCGAGACGACGCGCGAGCGATTCAGTGAACCCAGCCCAAACGACCATGCTTTCACGGACGCATTCGAGTTCCCGCTATACCAGAGCTCTCAAGAGGCGCGGGACGCACGCGGCCTCGGTTGCGACGTGGCGACGACCCCACTCGACCCGGCTTCTACCGTGCCTCGAGCTCCTCTTCTCTCGCCTGACGCGTCCCGGCCAGCGCCCCTCCTCTGCAGAACACTCCCTCCTCCCTCTCCAGCCGACATCAGCATTAACAACAGCAAACACTTCAGCACGCCGGGGCACCGCACCACTGCGGGTGGTCGGGTCGCCGCCGTGGTAGGTCGGGTTCAGTGCCGCTGGGGCGGGCTCGAACGGCACTCATTAGCGGGGTCGGCCGCGGAGTGTCGATTGCTCAATGGACCGCCGCAACGCTTTGGATGTGGAGCGTGAGCTCTGCGCCTTTCAGTGTTCAACGTTGGTTGCGTGTCAATGGAGGCACTCCATTTTGTGATATTCGGAAGCACTTTAGAGGGGGACTGTTGAGAGAGATTGGCTGATTGTGTACGTATTAGCACATGCCGCAATGCATGCACGCCTTAGTCCGCGGATCGTGGGCCAAAGTGTGCGGACCAGCGACTCTGTGCGATCAACAAGCGCTTCTAGCCGAACTAAGGCGCCTGGCGACACGAGCGTCGCCAGATGCCATCGCCAGAGCCTAATCGCGATCACTGAAGATGCGTTGCCCCGCATGCTCCACCCTGTTTTCTATGCAACCGACCGATGACTGGAGGGTGCTGCGGGAAGCATGACTCAAAGTATTCTCAGATTGAAGCTGACTCGTCGCATTTCGTGATGCCGGCTAGTCGGGTCAGTGATTGATCTTGAAAAAGCCGTACGTGGTACATTACGTAGGGTGACAAACTCGCTTTCTCTTGCAAGTATATTCAGAACATGACAAAAATACAGTTTTCTCAATGTCTTTCGGCCATGTAAGCACGTTTTTCCGTAACATACTAGATCTTTCAGAACACATGCATACACACAATATCACGCATCCATGGCACATTGAGATGCAACGGATAATCCTGGTCTACATGTGTGGGAAATGTGCTAGTGCGGAGGTCAGACACAGGGACATAAACATCAAGGAGGTTGCTGACGTCGAGATCACAGTGGGGAACGGGGAGATTTGACCACGTTTTGCACGTCGTCCACATAATAAAGCATGCAAGCGCATTCAACCACAGTGGCATCGGTGCCGGGCCACGCTGATCCCCAACCCCCCCCCCCCCCCCGCGTCCGAGACTCATCCACCGCGACCGCCTGGGGTATTTATTAGAAGCACCCCGATATCTCAGGATCTAGCTTTTGGAGCTCAGAGACCATGACGGCAACCAAAGTCCTGGTCACTTTCATCACGACAGCGTCGCGCGAAGTTTGTCACGTGGCTGATGACGTAACAGTCGACGGGAAATTCACAACTCTGAAAACAGCTGATATTTTCGAGGACCTGGCGCCGCGAATACTGGGCGCACAATTTGCATCTTACGCCAGAGAAAGCGAGCGTTAGACAACACTGCATAGCGCTGTTGACAAAGATTGACAAACGTACAAAAATCAGGGTCAGCTCGGGATGGGATATAGCTTATAGCCCGGGGCGCGATCAGCTATAGCTTAAGTCAGCCAATCGCATATGTTTTACATTTATGGTTTGCCGGACGACCTAAAGTAATAAGATGACCTGGTAGCACTCGGTTATAAAGTGTGTGAGCCTAGCCGATTTCTTCATCAACAATGGAAGGTAACATTAATTCAGGTTCGGTATCACAAACTGACTTCACATGACTTCTGCTTGTGTTCTCGGCCGCGTTCTCCATCGCAAACGCCGTCCGCAAACTACAACCTATGACGTCACAGGCAAGCGCATCACAACATTCTCTTCGTCTTGGAGAAAAAGGGTCGCTGGCGTGTGACGCTGATACTTGTGACGTCATAGGTGGCAACCTCACCTGGGTACTTTGTCGATAAAGAACTGGGTCCTGGCGTAGCCTCTACTCGCAAGATGGAGCCTGGCTGACACGCGTTTCAAGTAGCTGAATTACAGCACATCAATGCAGAATTTGGCAGGGCTCTTCTGCTGCACAACTGCTCTCCTAGCTGCTCAAATGCGCATGCAAGCTCTCACTGATGACGTTATAATACCGTGATCTGACAAAAACGGACACCATTTCTCAGCAAAAAATTGTCATTAACATCCCGACCAGTACCTGCGGAGACTTTGGTGAGCCATCCTGGTGCGGCTCGGAGGTTGCCGCAGAAGCCTGGAATGGGTTCTTTCAACGCCCCAGGCGGTCGTGTCCTAATGCGCCGTCGCACTTCTGAATAAAGCGTGGGCTATTTCAGACAATTAACACCCAAATGGCATCATACGGTGTATACTAACATCAATACATTCATGCATGTTAAAGCACGGTCTCTAGGTAAGTTGTGAATGTCTTTCTGCACACAGATTAACACGCGATGATGCCGTATTATTATTTAACATGGACCAGGTTCTAGCAACAGCCAAGCTCGATGGCGGTTGTGAACGCGATCTAACATTTCGATTAGAGTTCCCAATCTCAGGGTGTGTGAGTTTGTGACCGTTGTGGGCGCGATCTCATCACAGTTGCGCGTGGCAGATGATAGTAGATATCACTCATGAAGAACAGCAACAATCATAAGCCCTACTGCAAAAAACTTGGCATGATAACACCACGATGATGGCGATACCATAACGCTAGCACGACATCAAATATACATTAACGTGCTGCTTCATGGGGCTAACGATAATGTGGAATCGCTCAGATCATGTCACGACGTAACATCATGCCACATCACGTCATGAGGTGACATCAGTCACATCATGGCATGGAGAGTCACACCAAAGTCATGTTATCGTTTCGCCTCCGTGGTCTGGAGCACATGTGCTGGATCCGTAATCGCCCGACACAGGTTGTAATTCGTATTTAAGACCGTGCACGCAGAGAGCCACCTGGGGCCAGACCCCGTTATGGGCTCTATAGAGAGCCCTGTAAAGCCCGGCATGGAGTATGAAATCTATAAACATTTATCAGCTTAAAAACAACCAATGAAACACACAAAGCAGGAGGCTTCAAAGATCCCGTGGACAAATTAGAGCCCAGAGTCTCCAAGACCGGCATGGGGACCGAGGAGCGACATACCCAATAATACAGCCACGAGACCCAGTGGCCATGGACTTGTGGCGAGAGAAATAGCGCCAAGTTCATGTTAATCACTACAGCACACCAAAAATAACGCCAGAAGGTCGCAAGAAAGGAACAGAAAGCCATGGTGGAAGCAGCGGCAGTAGACACTCACAAGGAAGTAGGACCCTTTCAGCTATACCGCATCAGCAGCTAAGGGTGCTAAGTGTTTAAGATCAAACTCACCCGTGCAAACCATTCGAATAAAAACCGATGTTCCCATTGTCTATGCACCATTGGCCGCCACGATCCAGTGTCTCATATACGGTATATGACAATAGGTTTGTGGGTTTGTGGGCTAAATATATTTTTGGATGGTTTTGTTGTCATAACGGATGGACCTCTCTTCAGTCACGTTAATATCAACGAGTAACATCAGCTTTCTCCTCACACCTTACCTTAGCTTGCTTAGCTTAGCTGAGAGATCTTCGGAAGCCCGTCGCACTCGGGGATTACTGGACTCAAAGCGCGTGTTATTTTGCAGATTCGGCACAGAGCAGCCACCAAAGCCGCTGGGATGATTGTCTTGATCAGTCTCCTGACCACGCCGGTCTGAGACGATCCAACGGGTTGTCTCATTATCACGGTTTTTATCCATTACCGTGGTCATTATCACGGCTAGTCAGACTTTCTCGAAAGTCTGGAGACCGTCCGAAACATGTCGGTCCCGACGGTACTCCGATGCTCAGACTGCCAGACCATTCTAGGCATTCAGCCAATCGGTCAGAGAGCTCCGGTCAACGGTCAAAATTGGTAGACAAATCAGCTCAACACTCTCAGATAGCCATCAAAGTTCAGTTTCAGACAATGAGACAGCCAGTGTTAGCAGTATCTGCCCGTCGGACCGCAGACAGCAAGCTGAGAAAGTCAGGCCTAACCGCCGCACCGCAGTTGTCCCGTGCCTCCAACTGCCTACACTGCCGCAGATGGAGGCTACCGCTCACCGGCCACCCTCGCCACCTCCTCCTCGCAGCACCGCAGACCGCCCACCCTTCAGATCACCCGGCCGTTGGCGGCGCCGGCCGGCTGCGGGCTGGGCCGGTCGCGGGAGGCCGGTTCAGCCCCGCGAGAGGCCGCGTTATGCCCGCAGGAGGCGGTGTCAGGCCCGCTGGAGGCCGGGCTAGGCCCGCGGGAGGCCGGTTCAGCCCCGCGAGAGGCCGCGTTGTGCCCGCAGGAGGCGTGGTCAAGCCCGCGGAAGGCGGGGCTAGGCCCGCGGGAGGCGGGGTTATGCCCGCGGGGCACGTCAGAGGCCGTGACGCGCAGGTCACTCGTCTCGGCGTCGCCCTCGGAGCGCAGACAGAGCAGCACCCGCGATACGATGCTCAAGAACTTGGAGTTGAGTGCACAGTAGAGGACGAAGTTGCAGGAGTAGTGGACGGCCATGAGCACGGACACGACCAGCTTGAAGGTGCGGTAGCCGCTCGACTTCAGCTGAGACGTGTCGCCGCCGTAGATGAGGGTGGCGGCCGACTGCCGGCTGGCCAGGTGGGTTGGGAACTCCCCGGCCAGGAACAGCAGGATGATGCCGATCAGTGTCACCGTCAGCCGGAACTGCTCCTGCGCGCGGCATGATCAGCTGTCACTGTCAGCCGGAACTGCTCCTGCGCGCGGCATGATTAGTGCCACTGTCAGCCGGAACTGCTATTGTGCGCGGCATGATCAGTGTCCCGTAGGCCGAAACTGCTCCTGCGCGCGGCATGATTAGTGTCACTGTCAACTGGAACTGCTCCTGTGCGCAGCATGATCAGTGTCACTGTCAGCCGGAACTGCTCCCATGCGCGGCATGATCAGTGTCAGTGCCAGCGGGAACTGCTCCCGCGCGCGGCATGATCAGAGTCACAGTCAGCCGGAACTGCTCCTGTGCGTGGCACCAACAATTGTGTTAGCACAGAGGCCAGTCAGCACAGGTTATCAGCTGCACAAGGAGCTCAGCCCTAGGGCTCGGCCTGCCACTGAGCTGAGGCCGAGGGCTCAGCCTGCCACTGAGCTGAGCCAGCGGACGCGGGACCTTTCGAACATTGATCAAATATTCCAACCGAACACCGGGAATTCGAGCATTCGTGGACGTTTGGGGTTTGAATGCCTTTGACACAAGCCATACGCATTTGCCAGAAACAATGAGTTGTAAGTTAAGCTATCAAGGCAAATGCCAAGCCGCCTCCGTTCCTTTCAGGCGGCTATGTATCCAATGTAGAGCAGTAAGTCGCTGTATGCTTGCTATTGACATCAGCTGACAATGCACATACAAATACGTAGCCAGAGCTTTCGTATCGCTTCATTCCGTAGCGGCAGTACCTTTCGTTTCGTTTCGTATACTTAGGGGCGTATCGTATCGTATCGTTTCGTATCGAATCGTTTCGTATCGAATCGTTTCGTATCGAACTTGCCATTTGTCAGAGAGGGGGAATGAGTAAAAACAACGGAAAGTGATAAGGAGTAAAACTACAGAAATATATGCATACGCCTACAGTATCAAACATCCCTACGCACAAAGAATGACTTCGCAGCGCGCTTAAAGCTTGTCGAATCCAGTCGTCTCACACCCACTGCAGCTGGTCCTGAAGACCGGCCGCACAGCGTGTGGGAGACCGCTGTCCCACCACCACCCACATCGCCGGGGGAGGGGGAAGGGCGCAGGTCCTGGTCCATGGGGAAGAGCGCCCACGGGTCAGCGAGTCGGCATATGGTTGAATACGCAGACAAGAACCGCAGGTGCGCCTCGCTCACGGGCTTTACGCGCGGCGATCATGGGGTTTGGGCTGTGTGCGATACTTTTGGAGGCCGGTATCTACGCTAGTCGCGAAGTGAATCACTTTCGACAGCCTGGTGTCGTTATCAGCTGACACCTGGCTATGAATTGTGATGCAGTATTTCACGCGCTAGATGATAAACTGCACGACGGTCAGTAGGTCTCTTTGTGAGGGCAACTGGGTCAGGTGACGGAGACCGATCAGGAGGTCGATGCACTTTTGGACTAGCCCAGACTAAAGTGCGTTGGCGGCACAATCGCTCCAGGGCGCACTTCACAGTCTTTCTGAGGGGCGGAAGGCTCCCGATTTGTCGCTCCCCCGAACATCACACGCTTATAACAATCGGCAATGCGGCAGACTATCGCCAGGTGGGCCTGTCGACTTCCCAGTATTCCACCTTGAAAACCGATATCGATATTCATATTTAACTTGCCATTGTATGGACATTATCGTAAGATATTTTTGATGTTCCAATGCGTTGGGGCATGAAAATTACAATCGACTTAAATGTCGTTATTACCTGATTCGCTTGGAAAAAAAATAGCCCTTGATACCCTGAGCGGGTCATCTTAATTTATCAGGGTAACCGGCTTTTTCCACGATTGGTATGGAAACGATGACGCGTTTTAGGCACCCGAAACAATTACAATGTCAAGGTTATTTATCGCATATTCAGCTTCCAATGTGTTCGCGCTCACTTGAGCCTGTTTTAACGGGAACGCCGAACCACAGCTCCCGCAGTGAAACACGAACCCACCCTCCCGCAGCGCTAAGTCAGGTATGGCTGCATGGTATCCGTGGCCTTGTATCAAATCCTTTCACATATTATAACCCATTACGCAATTTTTCATGTCATGTACTTTCTAAAGTAAAATGAGTCATTTCATAGCCTTCGTGAGCTTTTCCATTAACAACTGGGGTAAGTTAAATGCCACTTGCAAAATTGGGAAGCCAGAAAGGCTGGATGGGACACTAAACTGGGCTGTGCAGGGAAACGTGGCTTATGACTAACACACAGGCATGGAAGCACGCTCGCGCGAGCATTCGCACACCCAATCCCACATCCACACCCACACACGCATATATACAGCATATATATATATATATATATATATATATATATATATATATATATATATATATATATATATGCATATGCATATAGACTTATGGCAGCTGGCTCTGGCACCAAAGATTTTGCCCATGTCTTGAGCTTGGAATCCTGTGTTGGCTGCAGTTGGACCTGTCCCTGGCCGGCTGAGGCGATATCAGTACCGTCAGCTGATACAGCACGTCAGCTGATACAGCACGTCAGCTGATACAGCACGTCAGCTGACGGCCAATTGGATCATCCGGCATACCGTTCTGATGGGCCTATTCAATGATAACGCTCGACAAAGCTCCAACGGGTCCAACTGGCGGTGAATAGGCCTCATCCACGTGGAGCATTGTCGGCCAGGTACAAACATGCTCGGCAGCCGTACACGGCGAGCGCGGGGCACGCATCATTAGGCACCGCTCGTTTTTGTCACGGCCGTCTTTTGAGCCGGCTCCTTTTGTTGCACACATATTGTGCGATGTGCGTACTCTGTGTAATTCCTGGCCGCTATTCGGCCACTGGCCTTCTCCTACCAAGTGGCAATCAGTCTAAGCCGATCCGATAGAAGCTAGCCAATATATTCAATTTTTCAGCCAGGTTCATTGACGTTTGCTTTGATGGGCCGAACGTCCGCGGCCATTTTGCAGCTTGGCGACATTCTTCACCAGATAGTGCGGAAAGTTGGGTCCATGCTACGTCCCGGTGTGCGGGATTTCTGGTCAAGCAAAGCTGGAGTAAATGAAGAAAAGTCTGGCACAGAACCAACCAACGTCTTACTTTCACCGCATAGCGTAGTGGTAGCTCTGCGCTCCTCATCTCAACCTGGTGCCATAGCATCAACACGCCCTATGGCCCGTGTCTTCTCCGTTACTCTTCCTCGGCGGCACAATAACACCGCAATGGCAATATCGGGCGCGGTGTGCCGCTATGCGCAGCACGGCGGCCGGGCGGCTTACCCTGAGCCTCTTCTCCTCTCTGTGTTTGCGCTGCGACAGCAGCGCCTGTCGACGGCGGTAGCTCTCTCGCAGCGACAGGATGAGAAGCAGGTTCCCAACGGCCAGGAACAGGGCCGTGCCGAGCCCGAACACGACGAACCGCACCCAGTTGTGAACCTGGTAGTACCTGAAACCATTCAGCAGGGGTTCGGGTTGTGCTGTAAGCACATGCGTTGGTGGATTTTTTAGTGCCGAAGTCACGCACAGCGGATGATCTGGTAGAGCTGAAACACCCACAGTCGTGAATGTTCCAGTCGGGTAGCACCTGATGCGCGCCTAGATGTGGATCTCGGTGTTGTTCGTGTTCAGCCTCGTGGTGGCTTGTACCTACAACATAAACAGTTGATAATCTGATAGTAACTGAAGCCCTGAATCTGATCATTACTGAAGGCCTGGATCTGATGGTAACTGAGGGCCTGGATCTCATACTAACTGAAGGCCTGGGTTCGGTAGTAACTGAAGGCTTGTATCTGGTAGTAGCTGAAGGCCTACACAGTGGTGGTCCCGGTGGTGCCGGAAGTACTCACTGATCAGTCAAGTGACAGATACACAATATTGCGAATCTGGTAGTTTCTGAAACACGCACAGTTGTGAATCTGATAGCGACTGAATCGCATCCATTTGTCGTATCTGATGCATTCACCACCGTGATCTACGCTAGTGTCTGGAAAACTGACAGTTGTAAAGATGAAAGCACACAACTTATGAGCACCTGGGGAATGCAAGTTAGAGGGTAGCGGACAAGCACATGGGAAACACATGATAGACAAATGCGCGACAATACCTGCGGGATAGTGAAATAAACACCCACTTCAAGCATTGAATCTCAGCAACAGGAAAGGACATCGTAGATTTCTAGACCTTAGAGGCGCTGCTCGTCGGAAATCTTCGGCTCAGACTCGACGCACAAATATTATTTTGACATGTGATTTGAGCGGAGTCTTTCAGGTATGGTACATCTATCAACAGTTGATATAGTTGACTAGTTGTTGCTTTGAACACTGATGTACTGCAACAAGTGACTCTCAAACCTTATACTCAGAGTGGACCTTTAAAACCTTTCGACTTCGCTGTGTGTGTTTCGGGCAGCCTTTAGCATAGTGGCACATACGAGGTGTGGAGGGTGCCAGAGCCCGAATGCCTGACTGCACTGATGCGGATGTTTGCCAGTGTAGGCCTAACCTTATCCCACGGCTTCAAACGTGCGTCTCATCAAAAGCAAAGATGCGTTTGCGAACTGCTAGGTATTGAACCCCGACGATGACGATGACGCCCTGATGACGTCATGATGACGCCCTTACGACGCCCTGACGATGCTCTGGTGTCGCCCTGTCTATTCAGGACGGAGCCATCACATTGCCAGTTTACGGAAACGCATCGTCTGGAACAGGTGAGTTCTGTTTGGACGAATGCCAGCCGACTGGGCGGCGCCAGAGTGCGGCCAATAGCTGAGAGCTAAATCACAGCGACCATCAGCTCCACAAAACGGATATAAAAACAGTAGCCTGCGGCTGGTTAGCACGACAAGGTCACGGGGTGAAGGTCGGTAGAGCGAGCCCAGACTGGATCAGTCTGAGTCAGACTTGAGCTTAAGTCTCGGCCAGATGAGATGCACACTGGTCAAGAAAACTGTAGACTGGATCCACTAAACTACAGACTGGGGTGGGGGGAGACTAGGTCTTGAGTACAGTTTGAGCCAGATGACCTACAGACTGGGTAAGACCAGGTCTCGTGAACACAGACTGAGTCAGATGACCTACGGACTGGGTCGGACGAAGGTAAGGATGTGTCAGATGAGCTACAGATGTAGGCATCCATTTCGATACTTTGGCCGTTTTCGGATCGCTGTGACATGGTTTTATTTTGTTCGGAGGAGGAGTTCCTGGCCACGGCCGGCTTGCTTGCTGTCCCACGCCCTGCCGGGGGCTCCAACGATCTTGTACTGGCGGCGTGACAAATGAAAAGCGTCGAAATGCATGCCTCTGCAAACTGGGTAAGGTGAGGCATTGGCTAGGTCTGACCAGTTCGGACTGGGCCACGCTGGATCACATACGCTGCAAAGTAGGCTAACTGGGCTGCAGACTTGGCCTGGAACACAAGAACTACAGTCTGGGCAAGACAGGCTACATGCATGACCGCCTGGGCCGTCGAAAGCCTATGGGGCCAATCCATCAGCTGAGCACGCTTAAAGGTTCATCGCAGGCTAGTCACGAGACGTTTTACGGGACGGCCCTCCATTTAAGACGCCCGCAACGCTAAAGCGGGGCTCCTCTACCCCAAAGACCCGGCTATCTGGAAAATGAAACTGATGAGCTATTTGAATTACGCGGCACCCTTCCCACAGCCCGCCACAGCACACTGCATCAGCGTCACACAGCGGCCCGTGTGACGCCGGTTGGCCCGGGGCCACCAACATCTGAAGCAATGATCGCCTTCCGACCAGTGACTGTCTGGATCTGTTGCTGGTCTTAACGTTCATAACAATGGATGCCTTGCAACGGCTTATTCAGCCCCGCCATTAACGCTCCGTTTGGATCTGGGAGGTATTTCGCCTGGAAACAGAGCAGACTTTATTTTCCTTGAATTCCAATCAAAGAAATCCACGTCAGTGTGGCGGGAGCGTCGCCGCCGCTGCCGCTGCCGATGCGTACCGTCTACTTCTAGCGTGTTAGTGGGGTATATGTGCGCCATATTGGTGCTTACGTACTGCAGGCATTTTGTACACATTACAGCCCTGGGAACAGAGTGCAATTTCCGAGACAAGTAAGCCGCCAATGCACCCACGATTCTCACAGTGACTACATCCCTTCAACGTAGTGTTCAGGATGTGTTGCCATGGCCGTGATAGTGCCATTGCCGCTGAAAACAGGTAATATAATAAGAATACGAATAAGAGCCGTCCCGGGGACCGATTTAGCGGCGGGAAGGTTAGATCCCCTGCAGAGGGAGAACCTAACCTTCCCCACAAGTTAGGTTCTCCCTCTGGTCGGTTCCAACAGGCCGGTTGATACTACGGAGAACTTAACCACAGTATCAATGCCGTCTTTTACCGACTACCTGAAGTCCTTTTTACGCTAGGCTTGTAACATTTTCCCTGGCCGGTTGTCAAAAGCATGAAGAAGTTACGGTTTGTCGCGTGCAGCCATTGTTATTCACCCATCTTTTGAGTGGAGTGTCAAACACGAGCCGGCCGATTCAACACACTCATGATTAAGCGCACCTTCAGATGAGCAAAAGAAGCACGAAAGACTGACGCAATAGGGAGGAACGCAGTGGGTCTTGCTTAAAGTAAAAGGTACACACGCTTGGGTTGAAGTGGGTCAGCAAACATCATTCGTAACTGCTATCAGATTTACACCACAGGACAAGCCCGAGGATGCGCGCTCGTCGTAACACAGGCAGCAGAAACTTGTGATGTGTTTAAGAGTTGGGATAATGCAAAGACGTCATCGCAGATTGTAATGGGCTGGGTTTCGCCCTATTTGCTGCAAGCTGCTTGCTGCATGGAGTGCCGACATGACCGGTTTTAACAGTCGAACGTTTGTCACCGCGGTCGGGTTGCAGGACATTATGTAGTTTTTTGAAGGTGAGAGTGTATCCAAATAACCATACATGGGCCTAACACCGCCACAATGACATCGAGGGAACGACACAACAAGTGGTGCATAGCGTGAGCTCTGATCCCAGAAATCCATTCGTTAAAAAGGTTAAATCAACTTGCTCCCGTCCTAAGAGAAATAAAACCAGAAAGCCGCTCACTGCACCCGATCTCTTTACGCATCTTCAAGCATCACATCTTTACTTACGCGAACTGCAAACCCTAACACACAGTTCCTAAAATATGGTCACTTGGCCGCGCCTGCTGGCGCTTGAAAAGGGACAGGTAAGGCCTCGTCCTCACAAAATCACATTCATTCCCGATCTGCTTTCACCGCGTGTTTTCGTTTTAACCACACGACCGTCGTTCCCTGCATGCCGCCCCAAAATAGCTAAATTTTGGATGTTTGACCTTGAGACGTCCCGATGACGTAAGCACAAGGCGCCACGCTCCGCCGGACCGCCTCACAGATCCGCCCCGTATATTTAGACCGCTGGTGGACGGGGACCTTGGTCCAGGCCGGGCCGACTAAACATACGTCACGTGACACTACCGGTCCCCGCGCCGGTCGCGGTACCCGCGCCGAATACTGTATACCTGGGTGTTTAAACGCTCGGACCCAGCTGGCTGGCACAGCGCCACTGCACCGCCCACTCTCCCGAAGAGGCACGCCAGATCTGCGTACTCCACTTTCGAGGTGTGCTCGCGGCAGCATCCCCTCGCGAGCAGACCTACTGCGATGTCGGTCTGGTGCGGCGTAGGAGCCAAGGAAAGCCAGCACACTTTTTGCACGCTTGACACGAGTGCCACGGGGTGCATGTAAAGAACTTAATTTGTTTGAAGCTTTTTCACTCCCTTTCACTTTTCCTCTCTGCTGGGACGCGCCTACGTTCCTGTGCTGTAGTGCACACCAGGGGCGCAGCCACGATTTTCTTGCGTGTATGTGGGGGGGGGGGGGGGGGCTCAGTGAGAGCGCACCACACAGATTTATAACTTGGTGCCGGGAGTCATCTGTGATGACACAAAAATAATACTAGGCTGAGGATGGGAACGGGCTTCCGCCCTCCCCCCCCCCCCGCCTCACTTCGGCTGCGCCCCTGATGCAAACAGCGTACCTCGAAGGAGGATGAATATTGATTGTTGTCTTGTCGGCATAAGAACATCAAACTCAAAACGCCGACAAACCAGGAGGTGAAGATCTTCCTTGTTCATAGCCAAATTAAAGGCCCAATATCAGTGCACTATAATAAATCCATGAACGGATCAAAATCACCAAACAGTTTCACACCTTGGCACCACAAAACTGAGCTTTCTCAGTGCCATCAAAATTGCAAGAGGCTGTATTTCCCAGCACATAAGGCAAATCACATCTTCAGAGGTAATGAGCTCTTGTTTGTTACAACACCACTTGGACACGTATTTCCAATTTGACCGAGGGTGAATGCAGCTGCGGAAATACCCGAAGACTTTAATAACTATTCCGGTCGGATAACTGTTTGCTATTCAGATCGAGCCCTGAACAGCGCTTG